ATATATATATATATTTGTTTAATGTTCCAAAGTTGGTACGATATAGAATTGATTTTTTTACTAAAATCAACATCATGCGTGTGCCCATTTCCTCCGGAAAATGCAAACACGGTTCTTTCAATCTCCCTTGCCCGGACGCCGACCTCTAAAATGAAGATTCCCGGATGCGAAGAGTCACCTGGTTGCAAGTGGCATTGTGACGTCATAACGCTACTCTCACCAACGCTTTGGGAATACCTCTCTTGAAAGTCGGTCAGTATGCCCACAACCGAGGCGACCACTCAGTAGATCTTGTTCTGCCAACTGCGTCAGTACTTCGTTGAGCGCACATTCGAATTAGCTGGAGCTTTGCGCGGATCTGTAATTTTCGCGGTGTTATTTTTTTGTGGTGTTTCGATTTTTGAGGATACATTTTTGTAAGTACTCTAGAATTTCTGATATGATTTATTAAAACCTGGGGTGTATCACAAAGATATGATGTAGGGCCTTCTGCTACTTCTGATGTATACCGCGCTCGATTTTCGATAGTTTGTATAATTTTCAAAACTTACTAGTTTAGTTATTTGGTTTGTATTATAGTTTTAAAATGATAAATCTTACAACGATAGGTGGCCTAATAATTCGAGACAATTATAATTCATTCCAAAATTGGCACGTCCGATTGAATACAACCATCTTACTTCTGCATGTAATAATTGAGTTGTGTAGTTGGAATCCTTACATATATTTGAAAATAAAGCAGCTGTTAAGGACATGGCTCTTAATAAAATGTATAATCTTGAAACATCCTGAAGCCCATCGTTCAATTCTGGTGCTAATTTTTTTGCTGCAAGAGCCTCTCGGTGAATAAGGCAGTGAGTAAAAGTTGTAATTATAAGAAGCAGCTTGAAAAAATTATTTGAAACCAATATAATAGATGTTATAAAATCATGTATTTGAATATTTGACATTAAAATCTCTCGCGATCCCAGAATTTTGCTACGTCACTCCGTTTGGGGTCGCGACCCATAGTTTGAGGTCTGACCTAAATTGATACTGCATTTTCTGCTATTTTTTCACAAAGGGCAAAAAAATTGTATGAATTGAACGATTCTTTCTCCTATCGAGGTTTCAACTGTGTTTTGAACTACTGACTCTGTTAAAAAGTAGACAGACAGATGGGTTTGATGTTCAAAAGTGAAATATTTGGAATTTTTTGAGTAGTGTTTCAGTTCATTCTTGCTACAGGCAAATTAGTTAGTAATTTTGGGAAATATTCAGTATTCTGTTCTTTCTTCACTGTATAATTTTTAGATAACTTAATAGATTTTTCTATTTCTACCTAGGTATGTACATTTAACCTTTCGTTGAATATTTGGAAAATCGAAATTAACATTGCCAAAATAAAAGTTCATACAAAATATAATACTTCAACTTCCTCATTACATATGTCAACACATGAAATCAGCCATGATTCATTATGTGCAGGAGCCTGCATTTCTCTTTTCTTCCCAATTTTCATGTTCGATTTTACACCATTTCACTTTCACCTTCATATTTAGTGAACTCTATATAATTAGTGTATCTATGAATTTATACAACTGCATTCCTAAAACCGAAAAATAATTTTTTCTTTCATTATGAACATCTTGTAAGGTTTTAAGGTAAGGTATTGTTTTAAGTTACCTACAGTGTCACACATAAAGACGTTTTTTTATTATTGGATATAATGAAAATTTGACTTCGCAGTTGGTTTGAGCTTGAAAAATGAGTGGAAAGCAGCCTCTTTCCTTTTGTCATGTGCTATTATAAACCTGTCTTTGATATTTTTTCGAAAATTCTTGAAAAATCAGTTTTCTTTTTAATTTCGAAAAATGCCAATGAAAAGAGGTGCCCAGTTTCCAATTTTATACTCTTGCTCGAAATTTGGACTCTCAACTGTTACTTCGACATTTTCTATTTTTTTTTAAATTTTTCGAATCTTTCGCTCTATCGATTCATAATTTTGATGAATACGAGACTTCCATATCATATCGTGCCTAGAAAATACCCGCATTAGCCTATTACCAAAAAAAAATCCACCTTCAGAAATTCGTCTTTGTTGTTGTGAAGTTCATCTACTTTTTTTATTTCATCATTAAACTGATTCGGATTTTCAATGTGTGGATGGTAATATGTCAGTAATCGAATAAACGTATTTTTCATTCTTATTACACTCGTATTCCGTTAGCAGATTTTTATCCCATTAGCTGCAGATGAGTTCAAAATATTTCAATGCAGTTTACATTCAACAGTCACACTGTTGGGTGTAAACTTCTAGATGTAGTTATCGAGCAAATAATAATACTTCTTGAGTTGATTTCATAATTCTTATATCCTTTATTTCCATCATCAGATGTGTAAATAACATTATACCAATATAACTACATATAACCAAATTCACAAAAAAACATAGCATTTATTGATTTATCTCAATAATCTTATAAAGAACCCGAATTTATCATTCAGTATGCCGTCTGTCCCGTTCTATACAAATTGTAGTCCTTTCATTCACAAACTTTGTAGCATTTTTAATAAATACGGGATTTATGTTAGCACAACACTTTCGAATGGAATTCTCTGAATACCTACTCTTTGTTTGGAAATAGTCTGTGCTTATGCACTTTTTGTTTAAAATATCCCATAGAAAAAAATCGTCGGGGATAAGTCCGTTGATCTTGATGGCCAATAATCTTCCCAATCTCCTATCACTTTGCCCCTAAAAATCTGACCGAGACACTGTTTCATTTCTATCGTTCGGTGGTTCGGTGCCCCGTCAAGCTGCTACCACAAATTTCGTCTAACACTTGGAGGCGGGTTATCCAAAATTTCAGACAACTGATTCAAAATGAAATTTCTGCACATGTTGGCCTTCGAATTTTCTCTAAAAAATATGGTCAATTCATTTGGTTATGTAATAACCCACACTACGCATTTGTCTTGAATGAATATTGGTCACGGCATTCTATTACAAAATTTGGATTATTGTTGGATCACTAACTGTTCCGTTCAACGTGAAAGTTGCCTCGTCTGTCCATAAAATCCTGTAGGGAAATGCGATATCATTTTTTCTCTCACCTTGGAATCAAAATGAAAATCCTGGTTGAATATCGAAATCTCTTTCTTTGAGTGTGTATAAACTTTGGCTTATAGGAATGGAATTTATTTTTGTGCAGAATTCTTCTCACAATTTCTCTGCCAACTCCTGTATCTTCACTAATACTCCTGATATTTGTTTTTGCGTTTTCAACGACGCTCAAACAAACATTGACTGAATAATTCTTTCTGGATGCCGGTGATTGAAAATACAAGCAACATCTCGATATGGTACATTCACATCACATAAAAGAACGATTTCCACTTTCCACTCTCAGGATAATGTTATTATCTACCGAGGCTTTGGCTAAATCTTGATGGCACTCTAGTACTAGCCCTGAGATAACACGTTCAAGGCTAATAGGGCTTGTCTACTATCTATCAGTGCAGATTGTTATGTTTTTGCCAGAAATTCCTTTCCTGCTTATTTCTTTTATGGCGATGAAGATACCACAGCCAGTTCAGGTGATCTGGAGTAAACTCCACATCCTGAGTTTTCTTTGGTTTTTGAGCCGTCTGTATCTAGGTATGCGTATTGCATTTTTAGCATCTGAATCTGTGTTCTGTTTTATTTGTATTTTGTAAGGTTCATTAAACACAACCCTGGGTTCAATTGCATCACTGGCTGCCCATTATGAATATGGTGCAGTTCTGATATACACTTTTTGGTATGTCCTTGAGCTCTCTCAGCGATTTTTATCTCCTCAATCGTCGCAAAACGCCGTCCTTTCATGAGTTTTCCTCAATCTTGGGAACAGAAAAAAGTTGCAGAAGGGGAAATCTGGTGAATACGGTGGCTGAGACATGATTATGGTATTGTTTTTGACCAAAAAATTACGAACAAGCGATGGCGAGTGAGCAGTGGCATTATGACGTCATTCAATAATTCAGCCATTTTTGAACGAACTTCGCTACAACACGCTTCATGCCCAAAATTTCTGACCAAAAATCAAAACAAAATAAAATTCAGCCTTCAACAATTCTGCATTATTTCGGTTAGTTGAACTTCTGATAAATTTAAAATTGGGGACAGCAAACATGATATTCTGCCTAGAGAGGAATACTTTCCACAAGCAAAGATCAACTGGTGATCTTTTTTTATATGAATATCTTTGTGACAATGTAATCGAGAAATGGAGAGTTTAATTAATGTAAACAGACTCGAGAAACGGGTTTTATATTATAGCTGGTCAAATTGTGCTTTACTACCGACAGTTCACTTGTCTCTTCTGTTCATTTAGGTGTCCGAACATCAGCTCCTAGCGAAAATTTTCATCAAAAGTTTAATTTTTTAATGGAAATATACAGAAAATTTCAGTTTTGGATGTCAGTAGAATTTTATGCTGTGAAAACTCAGGCTTCAGTTTTCTTTAAGAAGGTGGCAGAACCGGACATAAAAGTACCAGAGCCACAATTCCGCTGATCTGGATCAATTATTTTTTTTTGGTGTCAAATTGGATAGCAATATGTATTGACACAATTGAGTTACTGTAATAACAAAGCCAGTCAGTTAAAAACTTGAAAAACTATTAGTAGAAAGTGGTATATTATTATACTTAGCCGCTCTAACGTGTATCATTTGCTTCTGCCGAGTGTTTTTATCATTAGCTGTGACGCAAGCTCTCTTGTTAAAATAAATCTGAAGTCAATTGAGCAAGTATGGAGAACCCATATCGAAAATCTGGTAGGAAAATTGAGTAGTATCAATTTCATTATCAGACAACTGAAGGACTCTGTATCTACAGACGTTCTCAGAATGGCATGCATGGTCTAGTGTCGTCGGCACTCACATATGGCTTGATCTTCTGGGGTAATTCAACACTTATTGATAAAGTATTCATTGCTCAGAAGAAAATCATAAGATGCATGATGGGAGTTCGAAATAATGTATCTTGTAAAGCTTATTTCAAGTCATTTTCAATTCTAACTTTACCATCACTTTATATTCATCTTCTAATTATGAATATTGAAAAAGAGCAAGATACCTACATGAAAAGTAGTGAAATTCACCAACACCAAACACGGAATGAAAATGGCATTCGCTTACTATTCTCTAGGCTTAGTGTGGGACAGAATTCTCCAATATACCAGGGAATTCTATGTTATAAATAGGATCTTTGGTGACATAAAAAATTTTTATTATTCAATTACCTAAATGAAAATACTTTTTATACAATAGAGGAGTACCTCACTGTTTGATGCTAATAGTAGTTTTGTATGTATATAAAGATTGTCATATTCTCTTGTGAGTTCTATAATGTTTTTATGAGTTTTAATAATATATGTTTTGACTAGTCTGATA